CGTGAGGGGGACGGCGGCCGCCTCCCTGAGGGGTTCGTGAGGGGATGCCGGGGCCGCCTTCCCCGAGGGGGCCGCGCGGGGGGGCGAGGCCGGTTGGTGGCAGGCCGGGGAGGGTACCCCAGCAGGTGGACTGGGCCCCAGCGAGCTCCCTGCCCCGGAGGGTTTTTTCCCCGCTGTGTAAGTGGGAGGAAGGCCGGGGAGGAGGACGCTGGTGGGAGCCTGAGGCCTCTCCTGCCCTCCCCGGCTCTGGGGAAATGCCCTGAGTTTCCCTGACCAGACATCGTTTTTCTTCAGGTGAGATGCAGGCTGACAGGCCACGAGATGCCATGTCGGCTGTCGGTGCTGCAGGCTTATACTAATGGCAAGAAGTATCAGCGGCTCATAAAGACAGCCAGAGAGTTCGACTATGGCAAGTTTGAGCCCCATATAGTGCCCAGCACAAAGAACCTGTATGTATTCGCCCTCATGTGTGTTGTGCTTCACACTTTGTTCAGTCTCAAACATGAGGGGGTAAAACTTTACACAGTTCTTGAGTATTTATGGGGTTTGGGAGACTGGGAAAGTCTTTATAAAGTATTTTTCAGCTTTGAGCACAGTGCTTATAAGTGATAAGTTATTAGGTAATATCATACTTAAACTCTTGTTGCTGGCTCTTTCTGTGTCTGTCAGACACCAGCTGTTCTGCAAGCTGACTCTCAGACACATCAACAAGTTTCCAGAGCATGTGCTGCGTCACGTCCAAGGGAAGCGCTATCAGAAGGCCCTAAAAACATGTAAGTAGCTTTTCTGAAGATATATCCAGACAACGTTTTTTTCCCTAAGCTGTTGAGATTCCCACAGATGTTCAGGAAGGGAGTGAGTCAGTTTTCTTTAGCCTGATGATAATGTACTTCTGTTGCTGTGTGTGCTGCTCAGCTGGGAGGGAAGATCCCAGGTATAGGGAACAATTGGCCCCTAGTGAATACCTTAGAACATCCTTACTTGAGAGGAGCCATTCTGAAACTTCTAAAAATTTCAAAAACCAGCCCAGAGAGGGTGGTTCACTTGTCGAGCACGGTCTCTGTGTTAACATCTTACCCATCTGTACTATCACTGTAGATTACATGGATGTGTATTAGAGTTGGAGCTTGACATACTGCTGAGTTGCATTTAATATAAGCTAGAGCTGGGAATGAAGAGGACTGGGGTGACTGGGTAGCCTTGCTAAGCGCTGCCTGATGCCTCACACTGTTAGATGAGGAGTGCCAGAAGGAAGGAGTGGAGTATGTCCCTGCCTGCTTGCGACAGAAGAAGCAGCGGACGCAGCACCCCGATGACCAGATGAACGGGAGCAGGCAGCCTTACAGAAAAGAGGAATTCTGGGAGCCAAAGTCCAGCGATGAGGATGGAGAGGAGACAGACGACAGCATGAGTGACCTGTACCCACGTGAGTAAGAACTTTGGTATCATCTATGCCCTGAAGGGAGTTTGTCAGCTAATTTTGTCCTGGATTCTTCATACTGCTCCCTGCTGCTCATGTGCCAGAGGCACGTGACTTAATCCAGCTCGGGATTCCTGTGTTTTGGAAAAGCTTACCACCACCAAATAAGAAATAGCAGTTATCACTAAGTAAAAACCAGAGTTGGCTCACATGAGGTGTGAGGGGAGGGATACAAGATCCACCAGGATTTGCTGCATTAGGTATCCCACTGCCCCTGTTTCTCAGCAAGTCTGCGAGTCTGACAGCAGTTGGCCCGGCCACTTACATCTGGAGGCTCTGCCTTGCTGTAGGGGAGCAGAGGTGTAACACCCCAGCACTGCCTGTGCTGAGCTGTTCCCACAACGGGGCTAGTGAGAGCACCAGGCATGATTCTAATAAAACACCAGTGTATTTATTTCCCAAATATTTCAGCAGTGACATGTATGTTCTTGGAGAGTGGAAGCAGGTTGGCAAATCACCTTTACGATGCCCTCAAAGTAAAGTTAGGGGGAGGCAGAACTTGTGTACGCAGGGAAATGATCCCGAACTAAATATTTCTGGTTTAGCTGCGCTCTTCCCAGAAAAAAGCCCAGCAGCTCCACAAACCACAAAGGGCAGCGATGACTTTGCAACAGACAGCGAGGATGACGGAGCCAAGCAGAACGGCGCCGTGAACGGGGAGGACGGTGGAAGAACGGGTGTCAGCAGAGCAGTTGGCAACAAAAGGGGAAAGGTGGGAGTCACCCCATGGCCTGCAGCAGCAGGGGAGCATGGAACTGGGATCCCATCCTGTAGGTGTTTGTCTCCTCTGTTCCTGGCTGAGAGCCAGCAGAAGGTGCAAAGCTGTTCAGGAGAATAGACTTTCCCCGTGGGCCAGCCCCTGACTTGCATCCCGAGGTGTGAATTACTACCAGGAAATGTTTATCCTGCCTGCTGTAACCAGGGCTGTCTGCCTGTATAAATATCTCTTCTTTGGTGGGATCCTGCTTCACGATCTCTTTAACAGGGAGACTGAAGCGTGACTTGGGGGTTCTGTGATCTTCCTCCCCATACATACAAACAACAAACTACTTAAACCCTTTTGAGGTCACAGGGTCTTTCTAGACCCTTTTTCTGCCTCTCTAGGGGAACTGCCTTACAGGACCTACCCTGACCCTTTGCAGTTTGGGAAGCAGGCAGACATTACGTACGTAAAGATGGATAAACCTTTAACTTTCTAAGGCAACCCTGAGGGGCTGGATCCTTTATGGAAGGGAAGGCTGGCTGAAGTTCAGGTTCATGTCTGTGAGAAGACAGTTGCTGTTTGTATCTAATGGAAGCCTATGCCTGTCAGAGAAAGGCCAGGCAAGGAAAGCTGCTGGCTGGGAAAGCCAACCACACTCCCTTTCTCCTCTTTAAGTGAACTTGGGCAGGGCTGGATTTGGGTTTTGGAAACCAGCTGATTCACTTTTTCTCTCTACAGAAACAGTCAGGCCCTTTAAAGAAGAAATTCAAGAGTCATCATCGAAAACCCAAGAACTTCAAGAAAACGGCCAATGGCAAATAAATTTTACGATAACTACATGGCCTAAAGCCTGCTCTGTAACAACTCTAGAGAGTGCACAAGGCTGGCTGAAGTGTTTACTCATTCCAGTTAACAGTTACAGCCAGAGAGGGGAATAGTGGGGTGGAATTAAGTTGTATCCAACAACACGCCACCCCCCACCACTAAGGGCTGACAACAGCGGTCAAGTACAGGCAGCCCTGTGCTCAGACCTCTGCAGAAAGATGGTTTTTAGTAGGTGAGAAAAAGCACCAAGAGCACTAACCAGCATTTCCAGGCAGCCTGGCTGCAGAGGGTCACCAGTCACACACGCCAGGTGGATACAAAGATGCCATTGTTTTATTTTGATTGTTTCCAAAAATCAAAACATTTTCAAACACAACTAAGGTACAAAATACAGCATAAAATGAGGATTTATACTTATTTCTTTTTCCACATAGAAAGCAAAAAATATATTCAGGATGAATTCCAGAACACTTTGCAGACCCAATTGATAGCTGACATCCTGCTTGTGAGAGCTTCTCAGCCATGGGGAGAGGTCACTGTATTTCTGGGAGATGCATGAATACAACAGTGTATGTAGGAAACTAGAATCTTCTGCATCAGGACTCACAGTTAGTAAGTCTGCATATCATGCTGCCTAGAAATATCTTATAATGCCCTCCACCTAACTGCACCCCTTTAATACCAAAGTATTTCTGCTGCAAGGGACAGTTATCGGTTCCTTTTCTGGGGTGTTGTTGGAAAGGGGACTTGACTTTCACAGAGGAGACTGGTCATCATCCAGCTCCTTAGTTAGGACACAAAGAAGTTGAGAAAGCTAACTTAAAGGCTATGTATAGGAGTTGTTTCTATTTTTCCATTTATAAATACTATGAACATCAACAGCAGTTACGATATCTGAGAATGGCTGCCTTGATGTAATCAAACCGTTCTAGGACCTGCAGTGAAACTGAGTAAAACCATCCTGTGCTGCACATCCATCACTGAAAGGACCAGTTTGGTTTGCTATGAAGAGACAGGCACAGTGAACACTTGAGGTGAAAAACTTGCAAAACTTATTTTAAAAGAGAGCCTTCTATGTGACCTGACCTTAAATGCTGCCTTTCCTTCCCATCTACCCCCACATACCGACTCATTTCCTTCAGCAGCAGCACATCTTGCTATTACACAGGCTATTTTCCCCTTAAGATAACAAAATCACCAGTTTAACATCCAACAGTGCTCTTCTATTTGTTATCAGTTCTTTCAGTCTTATTTTTTTCTCCTAAAAAGCAACCGTTAAGCTGAACTGTCCAGGTTAGTGTCCTTACCAGGAGACCCTGGCAAATAGCTCCTGCTGGAGGTGTTCAGCTGAATTACTCCTTGAACAAACAGTTGAGCAGCTTTCTCAAGGGAGACAACAGTGCAAGGAATCAATGTAATGTTAGCAAGTTGGTAGGGCTCATGATTTCTAGAATTCTTTCATTATCTAGTGAAACAGGTTCACCTAGTTGACTAGCAGAGGACAAAATGCCTCCTCTGAGCAGCACTAAGCATGTTCATGGCACAGAGGTCGTGGCACTGAGAGGTGAAAACGGCCTTCCTCTCTCCTCACCGTTACTCTGAGGAGTTCCTCCTGAACACACAAGTTACATCCCTGGCTGCTTACTCACCGCATGGGCTTTGCACTTGCATTCTTCAGCTATAACTGTTCATGTAGAGTTGAGAACTGGGGCTATGGCAGCACAGGGCTGACTTCGTTTCCTCCCTACGGCTCTCAGGTGTGGGCCAAGAGAAGGGGCTGTACTCAAGCCCAGCACCCCAGCGCTTCCACTGCGTGGTCAGCCGGGGCTCCTACAGCCCAGAGACTGGCAGAAGTGAATCTAAGAAGCAAAGACTATAGAGTAGACTGACTGCTCTCATCTTGCACGTAGTGAGTGCAGGGAGGAAGGGGAGTTTAATTCTGAAGACGCTTTCACCAATAACCTGCACTTCAGGTATGAATTTGGGGCATATATGGATGGAAGGTGGTTAAAAGCAGAAAGGAGCTTTTTTTAATGGAACCTGCAGCACGACTTGGCTCCCTTCTTGGGAATTGAGGAGGGGCTGCTTTGGGGAAAAGAATGCTGAATGAAGAGTTCTTTTGGCACAGAATTTTCAGAATCTAACATTCTGTCTCTTCAGGGGTATCTTCCCCCACCCCTTCCTTCTTGAAATCTGATTAGCTATAAACAATTCCTGATTAGCAATACAGGATTCTCCCTCATTCCCCTCAAGAGCAGAACAGGGCCGTTTGTTAAAAAAATCCTCTCCCTTTCCTTACCTAGAGGGGCTAAAACTACATTCAGGGTTTTCTTTTTGTCTTTTTTAGAGGCAGGGAAGACCTCCCCTCTTGTTAAAACAGAATGGAATTACAGGCCTCTGAGCCACAAAATAACAGTGATTGGGTTTTTTTGATGCTACTTTCCACCTTGATAAGCAATGCTATAACCAGCAATGGAACTCCTTATGCACAAGACAGTTTTGATGAGGGTGAGAAAGGGGATCCACTTTTTTAGTTATAGCTAGAACCCAACAGCACACTGAATGATACAGCTGTATCTGCTCACAGTACTTCATATTTTAAAACACTGCTGACATTAGACAGCAACCGTTCTACTGCAACTCACTGAAGCATCAGCAAAATGCAGGTTCCTTGGGTTAGTTCCAAATCTAGGAAGTTAGAATAAGCCTAGGCAACATTCCTTGAAGAAATAGGATTTTAACTATTATATTACTGGTGCCACTGTAAATCAAATTCAAAACATCTGTGCCTTTAATAGGAAGGGGGCATGTACGTGTAAAATGCTGGCAGTTTTTGTTGAATCCATAGAGAATCAGTTCTGGACTTAATATGTTATGTCCCAAGAAGTGTTGATATTCTTGTTACCACTCTTTTTTCTTCTCATCCATGGAGACTCCACCAGGACCCAGTGCAACCACAAGCAGGAGCCCTCCAATTACAGACATGGTCTGGAAGAAATCGTATTTGAGGAAGTCGTGCATGGGCTTGTAGGCTGGGACGGTCCAGAAGGCATTGAAGTAGATGTTGATGCCAAACAGCCAGATGACTAAAGTCAAGGCAGCCAGCTTAGTCTTGAAGCCAATTGCCACCAAGATAATCAGGGCTGTGCCCACAATGTTCTGCAGAATCTGCAAGGGAAAGAAAAAGTGAGAAGCTTACATACAGGTCTTAAATAGATACACAAACATCAGAACAGAGCATGGCTAAGTTCAGCAGAACAGCTTCTCATGGTATAGATGACCTAATAACTTTTTCTAAATATTAATTCTACTGAAAAATAGACTTGAGTGGTAAGCACTGATCAGGTCTTGCAGCCAATCTGGGAGTTGGTGCTATATTCCAGTTCCTTAACTCATACTTTTATACTCAGATACTTACAGAAAAGAAGTTCATATCAAAATGTAGCAGTGTCATGAACATGAGGACCAGGAGCACACGGCCCCCCAGCTGCATGTACTGCTTAGGAGAGCTTTCCCGCATGGTGGGGACACCTGCAAACATGCTCTTCCCCTCTGAGCGTGACTCTGCCAAAAGCAGCAGCAAGCCGCCCCCAAGGGCAAGGTTCCTACAGAGAAATGGGGAAAAAAAAGTTAGTTTACTACAGTTTGCACTCATCTATAGATTTTAAAGTCTTATGTAACAATTTCAACTCTGGAAGAACCTGCATGCTAGGAGTGACATACTCTGCACCTTACAATGCGTGTCCGTGTTAAGAGTTCACAGCTGAAACGGCAGCATTGTACACAACAATAATTTACACAAGCCTGTGCAGACATGTACAGCCTGCCAGGGAAGTCCAGCACCCACAGTTCAGGCATAGCTGCTTAGCATCGGTTACAGCATGAATTTAGTTGGGCTGGAGTTACTCTGTACCTCAGGTTTAGCCATATCTGCCAAAGTAGTTCAGAGGTTGCTTTGCAAAAACCCAGCAGCAGTACTGCTAAAAGAAGTTACACATTTACAGGGTTGTAGTAAGCCCATGGTTCTTGTGCTGCCCCCTACGCTCCTCTCAGAGGAGAGGGGTGTAAAGGTAACAACAGCCAGCCATCACTCAGGATTTGAAAAGAAATCTCATGCTTAAGAACCCTGTCTTCTACTTAGAGAAGGTGTTACAAGTTTTAAAATCCCAGAAACACTCTAGTATCCACATGCTTTAGTTTTCTCAGAAAATGGCTTTAGTCATGCCTAAGCACAGTTGCTGTTTTAGCCATTTAGGAAATAGCAGCTCACTGATCCAGTCTAGACAGTTGTTTGCAAGCTCTCGACAAGGTTAGTAGCAGAAGTACTCAGATCCTAGTGGGTTAGGATTAGTCCTTCCCTTCTACAGCACCAACTCTGCTGTCTAGGGATTAACACAGACTCTACTGGTTTAGTTTGGTTTTTTTTTTTTTTTAACAGTTTCTTAACATAAATGCATCACTTCTGAAATCCTTCTATTAAATACTATGTACAACAATCACTTCCTCTCTCAGCACCTGGCAGTGACAGATAACAGTTTTTGTTCTGTTCTGATATAAAGTTTAAGAAGTAGGCATACCTCATCAAGAATTTCAGGTCCCATAGAATGCTGTATGCAATAGTCTAGGCAAAGAATAAAACAGGTTAAAACAACATATAAATTACACTGACATTCTGAATTTATGTTATAATCTCAAACCCACACTATCCACAGTGGAAGTCAATTACATTATACTGAAGGAAACGAGGTAGGTTACATCAGCGTGGTGCAGTGAGTCAGTGTGAAACAGGGAACAGAAGCCAGGATTTGACTTGTGCTTTAGCCCCCACAAAAATTCATCAGTTTTGAACAGGAAGGATGCTACCAGCTAGGAGCCTTTTGATAGGGACAGTCTTTTATAAGAGCTGTGTGATGAAGGCCAAAGCAACTGCAAGTTCCACATTTGGCACACTACTGACATACAGTTAAACTGGAAGTTACTTCTAAATCGGTCAAGGTCAAGTATTGAATCAATGTCTCCAGCTGACTAATTGCAATTACAACCAAGGATCTATTGGGCACCTCAGAAAAACAGAAGCAGCAAAATAGTTCAATGCCACTGAGGACTGGCACAGGCCAGGGTGGAGAAAAATTCCAGGGTGCAAGTTGTATTTAAATATGTTGGTGGTACTGGGGCTAGAAGAGAAGATTTGAAAGATACAGTTTAGAATGGCTGAAGACTTAAGCCTCCTACCTGTAATGCTATAATTCCAAACAGTCCAAAGCAGGCATATTGCACAAAGTTCCTACTCAGCACCAGGATACAGCCGCCTGAGTTGGGGAAATTGAACACAGTTACACTTCTGGCTTGCACAGGAAAAGATGCTGCAGGAACACTAATTTGTTTTGAACTGAGCAGACTGATTTATTTTCAACTGTGCCACAAAGAACATCAGGCAGGAAATTTTAATGGCACATTGGCACAGATCAGTTTGAGAACCAAGAAGTTTTAGTGTATTTTTAAATATTTTATAAATTCCAGAAGTATCTTTTATTTTACAGTGCTGAATGCAGTCCCCAACACAGCACTGTACAGCAGTCAGTATTAAAGCATCAGAAGTTAAAAAGAAAACTCAACTCATCATGGATTTTTTTTATTTTTATTTTTTTTTAAATGAGGTAACTGTTAGGGCAAACATGCTGCACTCTTTTCCTCAAAAGCTTTTGTTTTATACCCTTCCTTAAGTCTTCCATCAAAACACTAACAGCCTTTGCCACTTTAACATGAGGACTGGTAAGTACATTAAAACTGACTCTACACAAAAATACAAGGTAAAAACACCCAGACAAGACAAGAAATTAGCAGAGCAATTAAGAACAGTAGATCAGGGACATAATATAAACAAAAGAATTTTACTTCTCTCCATTTCTGATACCCTAAGTCCACCTAACACATACAGAGGCTCTGCTTCTGGGATTATTTTGATCCCTGGGCTTTGAAAATCTGACACAAGTACCTCTCTCAGGCTTAAGTGTACCAACTGCAGGTTAAGACTTTGCCATTGAGGTTTAATACCCATAAGCACAGGAGGCTGAAAAAGTCTTAACACTGCCCTGTTTAAGAAAAACATGAGTAATTCATTTAAAGAATTCAGGGGGTGTGGTATGTGTTTATAGATACATGTACAGAATTGAAAACAGATTGTTCTAATGGATTCTTGGCATCTCTGACTCAGAGGTAGAGTCTCACGAGAAATTCTGTAAGACTACTTCCAGAAAAGGCTGAAGCAGGTTAATTAAGAGTTCATTTCATTCAGCCTGTGTAGTACTATCAGTGCTAAGCTGCCAATGGCTATTAAGAAATCAGTGAGGCATCCCGTGCTTACATGATTCACAGTGCTTACATGAGCCAGGGTGGCAGACACACTGGAGTGCTCTGGCATCCACCTTAACCGTCTTAGAGCCACTTACTCAGCTGTCCGAAGAGATTTATGAACACAAAGATGGAAGCCAGGAAATAGCCACAGTTCCACGTGCCATCAATGTAATCCCTCTGTTCGCTCCACTGGAACCACATGCGGATGCCATCCTCCAGGAAGGTGCTGATCAGGCAGAGGCGAGCCACGTGGGGAAGGTACTGCTTCGTCACCCGCAGGAACTGCAGGGGAGAGAGCCAGCACCATCAGCAGGGAAGGAAGGCAAGGTGATACAAGGCATAACAGATCCATGCACGGCAGATGCTGAGGTCAGCCCTTCTCCTGCACACAGCGTCATCAACATCTAGGAACAAACACACGCCTGGGACTTGGATTTAAATGAAGTTGTTCTCCACTTGGAAGCAGTGAGGGGAAATCTGGAAACCTGCTGTAGTGCTCTGCCCAAAGAGCATTCTGGACAAGGACTTGAAGAGCAGAATCTACCAGCATGTTCCTATACAACAGGAACCCTGTTTTGATGGCGCTCTTACTAGTTGAAGGCTGACCTTGGTTTGAGTTTGCTAATCTCAGGGTTTCATGTTACAGCTCAACTATCAGATAGCCAGGAGCCGAAAGGGCAATCCTACTCCCACCCCCATGCTCAGGCACTCAGCACCCTGTAACAAACCGATTCAGGGAGTCAGGCTGACAGAAGACTGATTCTCTACCAATTAAAAAACATTAATGAGCTTTCTGCCAAGCTGGTTCCCTCTAACGGCTCAGAAAAGCAACAGTGCAGAGCATGTGTACTTGTGTAGTAGCAGCAGCTATCAGAGCAGCATAGCCCTTGTGTGAAATTGCACCCGCTCCCCTCTACTCAAGTATACACAGGTTCTATTTCCATTAAAAACAGTATTCTCTTCAGAAATTAAGTAAGCATTTATATATACAATTCAGTGCAGTAGTTAAAAAAGAAATTATACCATGCAACAGATGCTGAGCCTTAGTTCTTGGGAATTCAAGATATATCTGGTCCCACATACCCTTTCATCCTGCAAGCTCACTGGTTAGTTTGGTCTATAATTACAATAATTACAAAGGAACAAATACAGAATTGCCAAACAGGGACTAGACTAGCATGCTCTATAGGACTGCAAGGTGCACAAAAAGCTTATTGCCTCTGGATGATGACAAGTGCTTAACTGTCACCCAGTTTTCTAACCAGCACTGCTTATTTCTTAATGGAGACTCCCACTAGGATCTGCATGGTCACTGAATGCAACCTGTGCTGAACACACCTGGCTGGCACTTGTCATGCACAGGTTCAGCTCAGCCAGCTCACGAGGACACTTTTGGAGTCGGTGTATGCTACTGTTTAAGTACAATCTGTAAGAAACAAACATCATTATAATCTAAAACTAACTCCAACAGTATCCAGCAAATGACAGGAGCAGTTCGGGCAGGTTGACACTTGTGAAAGTAAATGCCCATGCCCTGAGCCTTCATGTGGAACCACCAGACTCTGCGGAGATCTGTTAGAACTAGGAGGAGGAGCCATTTAACAAATCCCATTATCCCACACAGAGTTCAATGTGTTGTAAGGCACATTGATTCATACAGTTTATGCAATATTAGAATACTTCAAGCATGAAAAGGGGTGGGGGAACCTACATGTGTATAGCTGTCTTCCATACCATATTGACCTATAGTATAAAATGGACAGAAAAGGCACAACATTTTCCTTCATAATTCAATGTTTACATTGACTTCAAGTTAGACAACAATATAGCTGATTGGTTTCTTTCTGGGCAGAATTTTTTTTTTTTTTTAAAGTTCTACCAGCACTGTATGCTTTCAGTATATAAGGCAGTGTGGAGAAAGGAGACTAAAGCCATTCCTGACAGTTTATTCTTGTGACAAGTAATTAGTAAACACTAAAAGCTGTTCCAAATCCTATGCAAATAACAAGCCTTGCTTACTGTGTAACTGAAGATTATCAGAAGAAAAATAATATCCAGCAAACACTTAATAGTTAATTAAACACTTAATATTGGAACAAACTACACTAGTTATACTGCACGCATCCAGAGTCTAAGGGTCAAGATTCAAGTTAATCAAGTGCATTTCAAGTGCAGCTGTACTCTGACTCAGGGCTGCCACTTCAGGCTTTAAGTCATGTCAACCGTTGGATGAATGAGTCAGAAGAAAATTTGTGATCTTTGCAACTGAATGAGACACATCTTGGTTTACAGCTTTCTTCTCACCTGGATTTCACTGTGCATTTGGGCAAACTTGCTGAGGAATACTAAGGATAAAGTTGTTTTGGAAACAGTGCCAAAACCAGAAGTGTTTTTTAACAAGTAAGCCTGCTTTGTCAAGACACAGAACAGGCAGCTTTGGTCTAGAATGAAATGAAAGACGACAAGTGCTGGGCATCTGTAGGAAAAGGGAAAAAACAACCTCCACTGCTGTGGAGAGGCTGAAAATAGCAGCAAACATTAGAGAAGGTGTCTGCCTCCAGGCCTCATCTTTGTTGTTTCTGAAGTCAGTCAAATCAGCTGATCTCATCTTCCCTCTCCCTGAAACCAACAACTGCCAACAGTCCAAGTGAGGGAGCCAAGGTGGCATTTAACATTTACCTGTTCTCGTGGCACATAGAGGGAATTTAATGCTATTAAACACGAGTGTGCACATCCAATCAGCTTAAGACAAGTCAGAAAGACTGAAGCCTAAGGCAGTTGCAGTGCTAAGCAACCTTATCATGACACACATCATCTTCGGACATCCGTAACTCACATAACTGCATTTACTGAGCCACACACAAGTTGAAACTCCTGTACACAGCAAGCTTAAAGTAAATAAGCTTCAGAAACAAAACTCCAAGCCAAAAGAACAACTAGCCACAAAGATCCAGAGAGAAAGGAAGAACACAATTATGCAGTAACAAGAGAGCATAACAGACATCAAGATTTTACAGTTAGAGGATTCAAGGTATAAATCACCCAAGTAATTTAAGTAAGGACAGAGTAACTTATGTGAAACAGAAGATCTTTAGAAGTGGGACTAAACTAATAGTACCAGACACTCTGGTTTTGTCCCTGCACATCACTAGCAACATGTGGCTCTAACGCGGCACCCTGAGACCACTTCCTATTTCCTTTATGATTCACACAGAAAAAAAGCAGCACATATGGGAAACTTGGTAAGTGCAGTTAAACATACCCAACTATGACAGGGGACTTGAAACAAACACACACCACTAAGCACAATACATGTAAGGCAAAACAAAACTGTTGAGATTCATGGAGGTGGCAGCGTTAAACTCATGACACCAAGTAATTGGATGGTTTATTCTGCTGTGGGCTTTGCATCAACTGTTCTTAGCAAGAGGCAAAACATCTTGCGAAAAGACAACAAAACGCTAAAGTAAAACTATTTTAAAGAAGAACAGCTGGTTCTGTGTTGGCAGTCAAATCACTAACATACACCAGAAGGGCTTTGTGTTGCCACTTCCCCCTCTAACAGGATTAGAAAAGCAAAGACAGATTTAAATTCTCCTCTTAGTTTACCAAGCAAAGATGCACAAGAGGATCCAGGGATTCCGAAATCAAATCCCTGCTCAAAACCCATTTTTCAAAAAGAGGCTTGAAATATTCAAACCCATAAAGAGGCCTGCCCAAAGAGAGGTAGTAAAGTCATTCTGTTTGACTCTTAACACACTTTCTAAACTATATCCCACCTCCAGCAGTCTCAAACTTGTTAAAAATCCAGTCCATTTTGTTAACTGTGCATACTGTGGCATAATTACAAGTTTTTAAAGACCAATACACAGCCAGGAGTTGGGAATTTTTGCTGTCACCTAGATACAATCTGTGCAAACACAGAAACCTGTGTGTACATGTGTGTGTTCCTGGATCAGAGAAGTTATGGTCACAGTGATGAACAGCAGCCTGATAACTGATGCAGAAAGCCCTTGTGTGGGCTGCACAGCATTATTAATCTAGAGCTTCCGATAAAGGCACATTCCAAATATTTAGCTTATATTCGTTGAAGGGATTGCTTTGTTCTGAGAGGACAGAGACCTCCAGCAGCCTGGGACACCAGTGATCTTTCCTGGAATCGGATGCCCAATCCTCTGGCAGAGGGGGAAAAAAAAAAAAAAAAAAAAAATCTCTTCCTTTCACCAACCTGTATATATTCACTTAAGGAGATCCCACCTTATAATCACAAGGACATTAACACCCACCACATTGGGCTAATCAGCATCTACAAGTTATATGTGAGAAGTGGGAACAGAAGCTTCCCCACTTATTTCAAAAGACAAGAGAGCTCTGACCCACCAGATCACTGCCAGCCATCTTAATCAGGCTTTTAATTGCAGGAAAATTTCTTATGACAATGCTTTTTGCTCCTAAGGTGTGCTTAATACCAATTCCCTTTTCCAAAAGGCTATTTTTTAATCAAAGCTTTAAAGTGGGATTTATTAGTCATGCATTCCATTTTGCTATCTCTTCACAGGAAGATTCCTTCCCAGCCTAACCAGATTAGGCTATGTGGCTTATAATGATAAAGAATCAGTGCGCTGACATGACCATGTTAAGAGAGTTTCCAAATTCTGTTCTTTAATGCAAAAGACAAAAACATTCAGATTAACAATTAAGTGTTTTTACCTCCCTTCTGTTTTCTGCAAAATAGGATACAGAGATGTTAGAATTAGCTGGACAATGTGCATCAGCATTTATGTTGGAAAATTAAATAAAACCCCCGAGTCTGGTTCTCCCTTAGAGTCCTTTCACTGCAGTACAATGACTCAATAGTCTTGAATTTTTGTCCATAATTTTCAGAACAGCAGAAATACCAAGCACCCACATTCCTAAAGATTATTATAGACACCAGAAAAGTTGCTTGAGATCTGCTCCCTCTTACAGGGATCACAGAGGAGAGACAACCAGTTCTGTAACCCTAAACAATCAGTACAGACCCCAGATACAGCTATTTTCAGTACAATAATGTCAGCAGTACCTGATGACTGCAGTGAAGGGCTTAGCATATATTTTAACAAGAATCACTAAAAAAGAGCTTAACTTCTGAGTATGAAAATTATTTAATTAATAGCATTGGGCTGGTGTTATGGAGTTTAAAATCAAACCAACCCATAAAGCCTGTAGCAGGGCATTATTCTGAACCAAGATCCTGATTCCCTTTCACTGCGTATCACCTAGGTTTTAAGAACCCTTAACAGCTTCTCCTGCCCTCCCCAGTATCTAATAA